AATTTAAAAGCTCCAAATATAAGTTACGTGACTTCCACTATTACCACGAACAATTAGTTGGACTTGTTCAATTATATTCAATGGTGTATTTGAAATCGAAAATAATATCGGAGACTTTTATGAGCTGATAGATTTACGAAAACATATACTCCCTCTATCCCTAATTACTTGTCCACTTTTGAATTGACACACCTATTCAGAAAATAATTATTGACATAATGAGTTTACCATTTTACGCCTATTAATTATGAAGTTGATGAATTAAAAACTTAGATTTTCAAGAAGTTCTACCTTTTTCAAAGTAATTAATTGAGGGTATAATAGGTAAAAAAAATTGTCCTTTCTTGATTTGTCAAAATGGACAAGTAATTAGGGACATCTATAAAAGGAAAAGTGGACAAGTAATTAGGGACATCTATAAAAATATATTACAAATGTTAGGGGGTATTTTTTAATCCCTTTTTTGACAACGTATATACATTGATAATGTGAAGAATTATAACATTATCAATATATTTAAATTTATTGTAGTAAGTAATTTATCTTATTTTTCAAACTATTTGTGATTCCATTTGTTATTTATGAAATGGTATCAACTACCAATATTCATCTTTTATGTGATTTCGTAATGCAATTTTTTTTATTTTTTTTATAGTCACTCAAGCAGGTTGAAATATATATTATCATTATAATAGTAGAAATGGAATCATTTTGTTTTGATATTTTAAGCAAATTCCTATAATTTAATTAATAAGCCTAAGTTACAAAAGTCATTTCTAGGAGTATTTTATTTTAAAAAGATCGATGTATTTGTTAAAAAATTCAATTTAATTTAAATAATCAATTATGATGTTGTTTGTGGAAGAGTAACTAGAGAACTTCAAATTGCAATAAAAAAGTTGTCAACTAAGAAAGACCGGAAGTCCATGCGAGTTGGGCTGAATTAACCAAAAAAAATACCCTCCTCAATTTTCTTAGAAATTCCCAAAAATTACTTGATCATTTATCTAATCTATCTAATTAGATGAAGAATGAACCAATAGTGGTTTTTTTTTGTTTTTTTTATGAATTGGAAATTAAAAAATGTCCAGGGACGAAAGTTCTACAATAACTGGATTTAATCACATTAATTTAAAGGAATTTGTAGTTTTATTAATCAAGAATTGACGAAAGAACTTTATAACAATAATTACTTCACATCATGTATAGTCTCACAGGTAAAATATGAAAGAGAATAATACGTACGCAATTTTTACTCCTACCTTTGTGAAGGCAAAAAGGTTGTATGAAAGAACTTCACAAAAGTCCAAAAATTGAAGATACAAACCAATAAATTATATTTTATACAAAAATCAAACTACAAATTAGTGAGTACCTAATTTTTGTAGTACAAATAAATAAGGTAGGTACAAAAAAATGAAAACAACCACCAGTTTGTAGTGTAGTGGTTAGATAATATATATAAGGGACATTGACCCACAAGCAAAACTCATTACTTTAAAGGACTTTAAGACCAATGACAACTCAATAGGACATTTCCACTTCTCTACACTATCCTACCTCTCATGCATCATTAATTTTGTTAGCCATGAACCACATAATATTTTAATTCACATCATTTTAAATGGGTCCCCCCAAATCAAATATTATATTTTTATTTCATATTTTGTGTCAATATTAGTTGAAGTTCTATGTCAAATGGGGGAGAAGTTATTTAGAAACTAAAGTCATGCAAAATGTTTAAAGATATTATGATATGAAAATATATACCTATGCTCCAAGGAATATTATTTTTTGTTATGAGGGGCATAAGTAAAAGAAACACAAAATAAGGGAATAACTTATTTATGGATTGGATCACGATTTTCTGGGTCATAACTTGGAGGAAATTATGATACAAAAATATATATTGAGTTTTGATTTTGGATCGAAGGTTGAGCTCCAAATCAGGGTCAGGTCCCAGATCAAAGTCATGTCCCTAATCGAGGTTGGGATCGGGTCATCGAGTCGAGGGTCGGAGTTCAAGTCTCCAGTAAGGCGCTGAGGGCTAGGGTCAGATCCTACATTTTGGTCAGGGTCGATGTCGAGTTTCGTGTTGAGGTTGGGATCAGGATTGTCAAGGATCAGAGTTTGGGTCTCAAGACATGTCGGGCCGAGCGGCAAGTCCCATGTTCGGGTCAAGCTAGGGGTTAGGACTCCAGTCAAGGTTGGGGTTGAAGTTAGGTCCCAAATCAAGGTTTGGGTCAAGATAGTCTTGGGTTGATTAAGGGTCAAGGTTTAGATCCTGAGTCGAGGTCAGTTGAGTCTTCAGTCAAGGTCAGAGTTAGAGGTTGGATCTCGAGCTAAGGGTTAGGATCGAATCCCGAGTCAAGGTCGAGGTCAGAATTGAGATAATTATTAAAGTGTGTTTTGGATAGAGTTTGGACAAAAAATATTAAAATCACACAATTGAGATAATGAGGGTAAGCCCTATTATTATACAATTTGTGAGCCAATTATTGAATATAGGGTGGGAAAGTAGAGTTGATACCTAAAAAATCCCTAAATTATATTAATATATCTTGTGATAATAAATTAAGAGTTGATAACAAATCCCTAAATTAATTATATCCATATTTTGTCGGTTTAATATTAAATTAATAGGGTAGTGTTGTTTTCTCCTTGAACTATAATAATTCCTATCTAAATTATATACGGATTAAAGGGATCTTCACACAATTCATTATTTACTTTTCCCAACGGATATACATAGAATATACACTGATTAAAACAATTGTAATTTAAATTAATTCTACGAACCAACTACTATTAACCATATAATACTTGAACTTAAAACTATTTCTTCTCTTTCTCCCCTCAACCGTTCGAAATAAACGGAGGTTAAATATGCACCATTTGTTAATAGTAAAATCAATCAATGAATATTCATGTTATTCATCTTCTCTCTTTCATCCCTAATTCAAAGGAAGATAGAGAAACACTCCATAATTAACTGATCTTATGTACAGGTTAAGAGAAAAAGGAAATTATGGGAACATATAGATCAGAGGAAGATTATGATTACTTGTTCAAGGTGGTGTTAATAGGGGATTCTGGTGTTGGTAAATCGAATTTGCTATCGCGATTTACCAAAAACGAATTCAGCCAACAATCTAAGTCGACTATTGGCGTTGAATTCGCCACTCGAACCATTCATGTTGATGACAAGATTGTCAAAGCCCAGATTTGGGACACTGCTGGCCAAGAAAGGTACTCAATCCCAATTTTCTTTTGGTTTTATAACATGCATTGCATAACTGTATATGTATGCACTAGTTATTAATGTAACATTGCTCTCTCACCAAGAATCTAATCAGAGGTCTGAGATTCGAATCCTAAAAATGAAGAGCCTACAAGATAATTGAACCAGAAAAAGATTAGTTTTCATCATTTTGTACGACTTTTATCCATAACTTTTTTCCAACCATGATGTCCAGATCAACTTGTGTACTTACCTCAATTAGTTCCACATGGTACCTTCTACCTAACGAATAACAATATCTACCAAGGCTTAGACGGGTCGAAGAAATCACCTAGTATTTCTGTCATCACAGAGAGTTTTGAATCTAACACATGGTTCTCTTCATTGATCATATTGATCAATCATACAATCAGATAGATATCATCTAATTGTTCCAAAGTCTATCAGATCATGTGAAGCAACAACAACAACAAAAAGAAAAAGAGAAAATTTTCGACAAGTCTTCGTATGCATCTTGGTTTACTTATGACTTGAATGCAATGTTCTTTCACCTATAATGCCTGGAGGAATTGTTTCTAAATAGCTTTTGGCTATAAAATTAAAAACAGGTACCGGGCTATCACAAGTGCTTATTATAGAGGAGCAGTTGGTGCCTTACTTGTTTACGATATTACTCGCCATGTAACATTTGAGAACGTTGCGAGATGGCTCAAGGAACTCAGAGATCATACAGACCAGAACATTGTCGTCATGCTGGTCGGGAACAAGGCAGATCTCCGCCACCTGCGTGCTGTTCCCACTGACGACTCTAAAGGTTTTGCAGAAAGAGAGAATACCTTCTTCATGGAAACCTCTGCTCTTGAGGCGCTGAATGTTGAAAACGCCTTCACAGAAGTGTTGACTCAGATTTACCGGGTGGTTAGCAAGAAGGCTCTTGATGCAGGAGACGATCCAGCATCTTTGCCTGCAGGACAAACGATCCATATTGGAAATGACGTATCTGCTGTTAAGAAGGGGGGATGTTGTTCCGGTTGAGCAAGGATCAACCGCTCACTACTACATTTCTCACAATGCAGATATATGAACTGCAGAAAAATGCAGGAATGCTGAGAATTTCAGGTTTCCTGTACAAAAACTGTATAGCACTCCCACTCTACGACTGTAATTTAGTGGAAAGAAAAATTTGAGGAACCGAGGTGGGGAAATGGGGGATGGAAGTAAAATTTTGCTTAAGAACCATTTGTTTTGTCTTTTCACAAGTGTACAATGGCATTAAGAACATTTCAGCTGTGAAAATGGTAAGGTAACTTATCCACGCTACACAGAACGTCAACCGACAACAACTCAAAACTACAGTATTATTGATATGCACATCTACTGTAGAAGAAATAAGTATCAAAACTCTTCTTAACAAAAACAACTCAGGATACTATTGTTTTTCGTGTTGCATTTGTTGAACTCATTGCAGGAGACAAACGGTCAAAGAAAAAAGACACACTTGACTTGCCTAGACTCTCAGCGGGGACCAGCAGATATTGGTCTTGGTACACATCCTATTACAATTTTGGTGTTCCTTTTTCCAGGAAGCATATGCACTGAATTTTCCCAGGAATTAGTTGCTAGCAGTGATTGCACTTCCATCCACATAGAGCTTGCAGCAAGTGAATTTTAAGAAGCCTGGAGGGCAGAGGTTGGAGGGGAGGGAGAGACTTCAGCTATTCATGAGTAACTTGTTTCATTGAGTAAAGAGAGTCTGCGCCATCCAAAAGACAAACATACTCAGAAACAAGAACTAATTTACTTTAGATGAACAACCAAACAAAACAAGGAAAAAAGAGAGTTGCATCATCCCAATGGCAGAAGTTCATTCACTGTATTCTTGTCCCTCCAAATTAGACAAGAATTGAAAAATACGACAGAAGTCAGAACACACTAACAATCATGATTTTTCTTCATTATTATTCTCTGCTTATTTTTTCACAAAATATCACAATGATTAAACAACATAAACCATTGAGCACATTCGAGACTACACAATTCATGGTAAAAGTTAGCATACAATTCAAGTCTTTCAAAAGTGATTTTCAAATTGATTAGCCGAACACAAACGGTCTCTCACCAAAAATACTTTTTGTTAAAGCACTTCCGTAAATCAAAATAAGTTGATTTCAGAAGCTTGGCCATGCTATATATCAGGTAGGCAAGATTATGGCAAGAGAAGGCTGCCTTTACAAGCTTAGTCAACTAAAAACATTATATTTACTCCACATTCTTTTGTTTTTGGGAGCAAGGTCATTTTACTCCTCCCTCTTTACATGGGAAAGAGTAACCCAGAGACCTCTTAATTCTTTATCTCATTTTCAGTTCCTTTATCTGAACTACTTGCGAATTGGAGGCAGTTGTGGAGTAGAATCCTATTATGGTTGCAGAGACCTATTATCCAATTCGCAACATGGGAACAACACATGGAATGGGTGATAAAGAATGCAAAGGGAAGAACAATGAGAGATCAAGCTTTTAAAATTGTATACAATGAATGTGTCTATGCGATATGGTTAGAGCGGAACCAGCGAGTCTTTGAGAAGAAAGCCAGAGATTATGAAGTCATTGCCAGAGAGATAGCATATATGTATAGTGTTAGAGCACAGTTTCTACGCAACTTATTATTCTAGCTAAAGATTTGTTGAACACTACACATATATGTTATCTCTCTAGCAATGACTTCATAATCTCTGGCTTTCTTCTCAAAGACTCGCTGGTTCCGCTCTAACCATATCGCATAGACACATTCAGTGTATACAATTTTAAAAGCTTGAGGTCTCATTGTTCTTCCTTTGCATTCTTTATCACCCATTCCATGTGTTGTTCCCATGTTGCGAATTGGATAATAGGTCTCTGCCACCATAATAGGATACCAAATTGACAAGTTGAACACATTAGACACGGAACTTCAAAGACAAGGAAAAGAAATAACTTTTAAGCTTGTCATCTTTCCTCCTATGAGTCCTTTAAAAATTCAAGAGATAATGACCCCACATGGGAATTGAAACTGAGAATGTATTATGCCAGTTCATGCTGGAGCCCAACATGGTACAAGGAACGAGAGTGGAGAGCTGAGGAAAGAACTAAGGCAATTTAAAGAAACAGTAGCTAGTAGATATTCGCAAACAAAGAATGGTCGTGTTGACTATCTAATATGGTAATGAGATCACATCTTCTCTTTCGGAAAAGCATAAAACTTGTAATAGACAAGGAAAAAATATAGTCAAGGATGAGGTGGTCCAGACAGGAGAAAACAATTAGCACTTGGGATGATATTTCACTAACAAGATGTCAATCAACACTTAGGGGGTCAATAGAATGTATATGCACAGTCGCTCATCTAATGATCAAAGCTAAAAGGCAGTGGCGATTAAAGTAACACAGCATAACAAGAGGCCGTTATGGAGATAAGATTTTTTGTGTGGGGAGAGTCAAGTCAAGTCAAAATCCTTCCTGTCAAGAGCTTCCATGTATAATATGCTTCTTTCAATTACTAGTTGCTTGCTACTATCCAACTGAAAATAAGAGGCATTAGGCAATGCATCCAGAATTAGATTGACACTTCCCCAGACAGGCTTCATTTATTTACAGCAAAGATCTCCCATTACATATGCATAAAGAGCTCGTAAGAAGTATATTAACTCTACATGTTTATTTGTTCCTTCACATATACAAAGAGCAAAGCAGCTACATTCTGTTTTCAGCAGGATAAAATAGGTGAATAGAAATGCATAAATGGTCAGATTTTTAATATTACATTCAAACGAAGCAAATGAAACTATAAAGTAAGGTCAGGGATTGGATAAGCAACAGAGAGGGTTTCGGCATATGATGTCTCAAACAGACATGATAGACATACATAAGAACTCCTGATCTTTCATACAAGCGTGTACATAAAAAGATCAAAGATATTGCAAGACTTCAGAGGCATATTTACAAGAAAGAGAACATGTGGGATTTTCAGGATATCTGTCCTCTCATTAATGAGATGACAAAAGGCAAGAATGGCAATCTTGGGCGTAAAAGGAAAAGAATAAATCATAAACAATCAAAAAGGATTTAAACTTATCTACAAAAAAAAAACAAAAAAAAAACAAAAGAAAGAAAGGAAGGAGGGTCAGTAGTTTCACTTCTGTCCACATGAGTTGAAGGGTAAATAAATGAAAGAAAGAAAGAGGATTGAAATCTGAACTTCTTCTCCTTGAGGTACCGTCCTTGTCCAGAGAAGATTGATTCTTTAAAATCAACTGGTAAAGTAGCAAGCTCTAAGAGGCTGGAATGTAAACGAAGCACACTTTCTCAAATGTGTTCTAGACTGCCAAATATCCTTAGAGATGATATTCACTTATCTTGGACGAGAGTTACAGAAGGGTGACAAAAAGGGGATTTTGGCAGCCAAAATTCAGACACAAAAGACAATTGTCACTTTTGGATGGTAAAAATATTTTAAGCTTCCAATTTTAAAATACTAAGCCACATATACAACTTCTAATTCGTTCTCAGACAACTAAGAAAACATGGAAACAGGCCTATGGTGCTCCCAATCAACCTTCAATTCACTCCTTACACTTCGTTTGGATGGTTGTTACGCATTCCTTCATAATGTATCATATTGTGTTGTTTTGTGTTATATTGTATCGTATTGTATTGTTTTAATGAATATAACATTTGGATAGATTGTATCATTCTTTATCCTTACATGTCACACATAATCTACAAGAAAAATAGGGTAATGACGTGATCACACCAAATTGGTCATTACACAAAATGAGACTTCTCGTCGTTACACAATGGATTTAATGATACGACACAATAAAATTTAAGTAACAATCATAAAAAAAACATTGTCTTTAAACTCAAACAAATAAGTACTAATTGAAAAGGATGAATGGACAAACAAATCATCAAGCATGCCTTCAACCTAAGAAAGAGGGTTGAATTAGCCAAACTCTCTTATATATGAAATAAAATTTATAAAAAGTGGATATAGAGAGTTTATCTAATCAATCCAAAGTGATTCAGGCATAGTTATTATTGTAAATGTAACCGACCATAGTACAAAAACTCAAAAAAATAAATTAAAAAGTTACTCTGGCGCATTTGTTTATAAAAACTAGGCATTAATACATAAACGTGTATTTTAACTTGGATTCAGCAGCTCCAATCTATGCCCTCCAATTTTGGGCGTGCATAAGTAGGCAAAGATGAACACACACACTATACACTAATCAATTTGTATTATGCCACTATGTTTCTATTTGTTCAACTTTATATGAATTAAGTGTTTTCCAGCTGAGACTGGGCAACTTTATATATTATGCCTAAAAACAAAACAAGATCGAACAAAAACTGCGAGAAATTCAAGTTTCTAAAACGAACCTAAAATGAAATTGCCGTCATCATCAACTTCTCTTAACCTCTGGAACAGCACCAGCATCATCAGATGACGAAGACGAAGAAGCATTTTTATTATCCGATTCTTCGTGCTTAAATGAGGGCAAAGGATTAGAGCCTTTGATAATCCAACCAAGGGCGTAAAATGAAAGCCCAGCTAAAATTGCAGTTCCCCAAGCGTGGGAATACCATTTGCTGTACTGCTTGATAGCGAATCTCCATTGCTCTCTCAGTGTAGCCGCGTCTGGGTTCGTACGATCCGGCGGGTTTGGAAAGTGTGGAGCGCCGGAAAATCCACCGTTAGATGATCCGCCGGAGATTTTCGGTGGATTTGTTGACGGCGGTGAAGAGAAGTTCTCGGTGGGTTTAGGATTTTGATGGTCAGCCATGGTAGAAGCTTAAGGAAGAGGTGATAGAATCAAACTAATCCAAATACTATATATATTTATTGTTTTTGACATTTGATTCGTTGTTCGGTAATTAATCATACGCAAAAATAAATTAATTCACAAATAAATATTTCTTTGTCTTAATTTATGTAGCATCTTTCGAATTTTGAGATTCAAATAAATCTATTGATATTGAGATAGTTCAGTCCAAATTAGTTATTGTTATTTCTCAAAGCAAGTATGCCTTAGACATTTTTGACGAGACAAGAATGACGGGCTGTAAACCTATTGACACTCCTATGAATTCGTAGGTTAAATTCCTTCACGGACAGAGAAAGCCACTCAATATTCATGAAAGATATAGACGGTTGGTTGGAAAGTTGAATTATTTCACAATGACTAGACTTGACATCACTTTTTCCGTGAGTGTTGTAAGTCAGTTTATGATTTCCCTTGTGATTATGGTGTATATCGATCGATTCGGTTCGATTTATCAGTTTTTCTATTTTTAAATATGATAAATAGATAACAAAACCAATAAGATATTTGTTATTGATTTTTGGTCTTGAACAATTCGGTTTCTGAGTTTAACCAATAAGAAAATGCTTTCAAACCAAATATATGACTTGTCCAACAATTTTGACACGAAATAAAAAAGAGAGAAATCAAATTACTCATTGAGTGCAAAAATTCTACTTAGTGTAATAAAGTATAGCAAATACTCACAATTTACAATCTTAGTCATTGTCTAACCCTTGCCATCATTGTTGCAAACCCTACCCGTCGTTGTTCTTAGTTCTTTAGGTTTTGCATTGTGAACCTAAAGACTAAAGTAATACTAAAACGTAGAGGGTAAATGCATATAGCAGAGTTAAATAGTGTTAATTATGTAGGGTCCTTATAGTTATAGTCTAATATAGTGATTATATTAATATTTTTTGTTTGATATTTATGTATGACTTAAAATTAAAATAGTAAACAATTATATTTTTAATTGTTATCGGTTAAATCAATACCCAATATTAAAAAATCAATATAGAACCAATAATCTAATAATTTTTTTTATAAAACTATTAAATAAACATTAACCAATAACTCAATAACAATAAACCAATAACACTTTTTTCGGTTCGATTTATCGGTCGGTTCGATCTTTGCACACCTCACTTATGATAGTCATTGGGATTATTGTCAATGATAACAATATCAACATAAACAATCAAATAAATACATCGATTTGATGCAAAATGCCAATAAAAACATAGAGTGATCATATCCATTACGAGTCATGTCAAACTGCTGAATTACTGTGTTGAACTTCTCAAATCAGGCTCGAGAAGAATGTTTCAGACCATATAGTGTAAAATTTTCTTATATCTTTCAATTATTGTGATTTATAATATATTTTTTCATAGTTTACAAATATATAAATTTCATTAAAAAAATTTAAATATTTAATGCGCAAACTTCCTATCAAACTTTAAATGTTTAACGCTCGAACAACGAAAAATGTATCATCCGCTATAATATAGTACTTTTTTCTTTTCTAGTTGAGTGTTTACTGGCCATAGAGAAAATGAAATCAAAATGAGAAATGGTCAAATGACCTCCCAATCTATTACCGAATTTTCAACTACACACCAATTCTTTGCGGGAGTCCTACCCCCCACTCCCCCCGAACTACTTTAAAATGGAATAGATTGGGAGGTCATTTGGCCATTTCTCATTTTGATAGGACACCTTAGATGAAAATTGTCACGTAAAATGACACGTAGGACGTGTGTGTTTACTTGTTCAACTTTATAAAAATTTAAGTATGTATTTATGCACATCCAAATTGGAAGACATAAATGTGAGCTAAGCTCAAGTTAAAGAGTATGTATTTATGTATTATACCATAATTAACTGTTATATATATATATAACTATGTATATAATTTATTGGCTCGCTTCAAAAAAAATTTTGAATAAAATCAAATATTATCTATTTTAAAAAATATAAAACCAAATCAAACCCAGATAAAATTTATTTATTTAATAAGTTTGGATCCGTTTTTATCCATGACAGAAATCACTTAGTAGTAGAAACAAGAAACCAACATCTAAAAATAGAAATAAGAAAGAACTTAAACAACCAACCTTAACCAACATACTTGATGAAAGAAACATATAAGCATTTTTATGTAGTTAACATATTAATGCTCTCGTGTAACTTATAAAGTTGTTGTCAAGTGACTACTAAAAGGTTATAGCCTTACAGGTTCGAACAGGGGAAACTGTCTCTTGCAATTACAATAGACATTGTAGCTTATGCACAAGAGCATCAATGTAAGAATCTTCAAGTCCTTTACTCAACAAGAACTCTCTCCACTTTGCGCGATTCGCTCTTATTTTACACCCCTCTTCACTCTCATCATTCATTACCATTTTGATTGCCTTACAAACTCCATCTTTAGTGAAAGATCCATTTTCTTCATTTCTCTCAACTTCCACTCCAGCTTTCAAGTCTCCACCAAACAATCTTGAATTTATGAATTGATCACCAAAATTTGGTACTAAAACCAATTGACACTCATTAATCATGACCTCCGATAACGAGTTTCCGCCACAATGAGTGACAAAACATCCAACAGAAGGATGAGATAACATCAATTGTTGCTCTGCCCATCCTGAATGAACAATGCCTTTCCCTTGTGTTCTCTCTTTGAAACCTTCCGGTAATGCCTCTTCGATTGTCTCAGCTTCAATAGGCGGTTTTAAAGCAGCGAAAAAACGGATAACCAGTAAGTTCAAGTCCCAAAAACCAAGTTCTTGAAATTGATCTTTCTTGAGATTACATTCACTACCAAATGCACACAAAATAACCGTCTTTTCTTGAAATTTTTCGAGCCATTTTGACCAATTTTCCTCTGTATTTGAACTCTCTATTGGTTCGGGCAAGACTGGCCCGGCTAACACAACTGGTTTCTTGAACTTATGCTCAACAAATTCATAATAAGGTCCTTCTATTTCTCGAGTAGTTTTGAATGCAATGGCATCCCCGTCTTGAAAAGCCAAAAGCAAACGTTGAGTGAACGATACAGAGCCAGAACCAGAGTTACTAGAATTCTTCCCCATTGAATGTAGAGCTACGATTAAACGAGCTTCATGTTTGTGGAGTTTGATAGATGAATCAACAGGAAAACCAGGTGGAGGTTCCATCATTTCAGCTTCTGAAGATGGATTTTCGCCACGCATAAGATAACCAACAGATGATGGAGTAATAGAACAGTAATGCACAGACTTAACTTTGTATTTTCGAGCAATGGATGGAACCCAATAAGCAAAATCATAGAAAATGAAATGGGGTTTGATTTCTTGAATTAAAGATTCAATCTTTGGTAATGTAAGATCCAATGCTTGACAAAGAAGATTCTGATTGAAAATAGGAACATCTGAAGTTGTTTCAGCTCCCAGTGGGAGTCCATCAACATGTGGAACTGTGACGGATTTAAAGTTTATGAGTTCAGGATAACGATTGAATTTTTCTAATTTGGAAAGTGTGTTTGTAGGATGGACAAAGAAAATTTTGTGGCCTCTATGTGCAAGTTTGTTGGATAGATGAAGAAATGAAGTAAGATGCCCCATGGCATACCATGGATACATAATAAAAGTTAATTTCTTGTCCTCCATTTTATCTTCTTTGATCTGCAAATCAACAATTTCGTATCAGAGTGTAAGTTTTATATACTGACAGTGTAAATTATTTACTCAATCAGACCGCTTATAATGTAAATTACAAGTAAATATGTTGAAAAGCATTAATCACCTTTTTCTAGAAAATTCATGAGCTAACACACGCGGAAAGTTGAGATAATCATGAATATGCATTTCAAGACTCCAAAACACTAAAATAAGAAATGCGACTTTTGTAGAAAAAAACAAGTAAGATTAGAAGGTTGAAATTAGAACTACTACTCACTTTTTAACAGAAAATAATTAAATGGGAGTACTTTGTACTAACACATCAATGCCATAGTTTTGCACAAATAAAAAGTATTAGTACTATCTAGTATGTGAGTTTCATATGGTTCATTCTAATGAATTTGCACTCCACAAATGCAACAATTAACCATCTGAGGTGGAGTCGGAATTTTTAGTTTGCAAGTTTTTGAGCACAATTATTTTTGTTTACTAGGTTCTTGATAGAGATTTTTTTTAAACACAAATACAAATATTGAGCTAAAACTATTGAATTCTGCCGAATCTATAAGTATGAACGAATTATCTTAGGCAATACGCTATTAAACTTTAATTTTGGGAAAATGATACCAAAGTAAACAGAGAATGTAAGATAGGGTCTTCCTATTTTTAACAAGAAAAGAAACAAAATAACTAATTAATAAAAGTTACGATGGGATGAATAGGATTCATCCAATCTTAATAAAAAATGGAAAAAATCCTAATAGGGAGTAAGTAGGGGCTATGGCGTCTCTCCGTTTGGAGACTCTGGAGGATTTCCCCCATCCTTTCCCCCCGTGTCTCTCCTCCAGCATTTCTATGAGGCGCTCGGCTTGAAACCCCCCGGAACGCGTGTGTGGAGTTCCCGGTGAATCTCTTGAATCACTGCGGCTTCTATTTAAATGAGTGTTACGCGGTGTAAATTTATCCCAATGAATATCAGACATCAAATAAAATAAAAAAAATTTAAAAACAAGAGGCTAAAGAGTTACCAAATTTTTTATCATCAATTAGAATTCTTGATTCGAATCATGAAAATAAGGAAACTTCAGATGGAAAGTGCTTCTCCTTTAATGAACCTTACGCAACATAAATTCAATCTAATAAATCTACAACATTTGAAAGTAGAAGGCTAAAAAAAGAAAAAAAAATTATATGCATGAATCATGATAAATCAATGTTTTCAGAGAAAAATACCAGAAAGGAAAATGTTAAGGATCACACGATTCATATGCAACAAATTAGTAGAGTAAATAGGAATAGACACGTGGCTAGCTATGAGCTTATTTCTAAGTTTTTTTTTTAATTATATGAGTTGAAGAATAACTCTTTAAGTCGAATAAAATATTTATTTCATAGAAGTAAAGAAAAAAATTACCATATGATATTAAACATGACTCAACATTATAAAATCGAAAAATTCGAAAGTAGAGTAGATAGGGTGGATCGGTGAGGTATGAAAACAAAATAGTAGTCATATATGTTGAGAGCGTGACATGTGTCCCCGCGACTAATCAACAAGATGACATGTGTTACTTGTCTTCACTGCATGTTTGCTATGTGTCGCTTCGAAAAACACGTGTCAACCTATTTGATTTCATGCTCTTGTATAGAATTATATAGGTATGATAACTCTTCAATATTTTTTTGTAATTTGATTAATGAAATGTCGATAATGAGTGCAAAAATATTATAAAATATGAAGACTAATAATTGATCAATACATTTGTAATTACAGTGTGGCAAACAAATAAGTCAACATAATTACTAGATTGTATAATTACTAGACTGATTATTGCTATTCTGATAATTACACAAATTTCAATTACGCTTTCAAACGAATCTTAAAATTTATTGGAGAAAAAAAAAAGTAAGAGGAGGAGACAAATTTGTAGTTGTTATCCCATTTTAAAGTATAATCATTTTGAATTTGTGTCCCTTTGATCAAGTTCCTTGTATTCATAACATCAAACAAGAAGGCATATTAATAAAAAAAAATCCTCTAGGTATATATGTAATTGAAACATTTAATCAAGTGCATCATTTAATTTACTTATTTTATATATGTCAATAAATAATATTACATTAATTTTAAAATATATATTAAATATTTAAAGAATTTTATAGAGATATCTCAAGTTCATGTATCCCATTTCTAACATGTCAATTTGGCCCTAGTTGTTCCAAGGGTAAATTTAAAAACATGTACATTTTGAAACATTATTATAGGAACCTATATTTCTAATATAGTAAGCGTAAATAAAATCTATTCATAATTGATCCGTTCTCCACGGCAAGACATTGTTGCTTATCTAAGTTTTATTTTAGCGTTTTTTACTTTACTTCCTTTTAAGTTGTAACTCTCTATGAGCTTTTTAACTTTTCAAAAAATTTACACACAAAATTACATATAATTTATAATACTTTTTTTACGACAAGACATTTGCTGCTTATCTAAATTTTGTTTTAGCGTTTTTTACTTTGCTTGCTTTTAATTCTCTATGAACCTTTAACTTATTCAAAAAATTTACACAAACGAGATCATATATAGTAATTTATAATAAACTTTTTACGACAAGATATTTGCTACTTATCTAAGTTTTGTTTTAACGTTTTTACTTTGCTTGCTTTTAACTCTCTATAAGCCTTTAACTTATTCAAAAAAAATACACACACGAGATCATATATAATTTACAATAAGCTTTTTTACGACAAGACATTTGTTGTTTATCTAAGTTTTGTTTTAGCGTTTTTTACTTTGCTTGCTTTTAACTCTCTATGAGTCTTTAACCTTTTCAAAAAACTTACACACACGAGATTATATATAATTTAAAATAAACTTTTTCTCTTTTCGCAATTAAGATGGAGAAAAACTTGCACCAATTATTCCTTCTCCTCATATAATTTCATGTGATTCTTTCTATTTAATTTATGTGATACACTTTCTTTTATCCTCGAAGACCGAGCCTAAAATATGACAAGGTATAAATACAATTCCGATTGTGACAAAAAGGCCTTCCAACGCCATAAAAGTGATAAGTTTTTTTTTTCTTCTTTGAGGTCCAAGGGTTTCCAGGTGATTCCCCTTTTTCTCTGAAACCCCCTTTTTTTTTTTTTTTATCGAATTTCTAATTCAATCCTTTTTATGATTTTATTTTGTATAAAAAGATTCAATTTTGTTGTTTTTTTGCAGATTATTGAAAGGCGATTTTGATTTTTGTTGCTGTTCAATCGATTTCAGGTTTGATTTCTCTTCCGATTTGTGAAAAAACGATTTTTTAAAACACCCTTTGATCCTGATTTGCATATAATTGATTGGGTTTTTTCCGATCTGGCATAGAGAGAAGACTTTGAATATATATGTGTATAGAAAATCTGGATCTGTTGATTGTTATGTTTGATTAACTTTTTGATGTTATTGGCAAAGACCCTTTTGTCTTTCCTTGAGGAATCTGTTGATTTTGTTTCTGTTTAATGAAGTATTGATAATCAATTTTCATCTGTAAATTGCTCAGAAAAGATATCTTGGTGTTTCAGGAAAATCTGTTATTTCTTGGGTGATTTGGGATTTCCGTTATGCTAATTTTTTCCGTAAAAATTGATGCACATGTTTGTTGTTTTATGTCTTGATTTGGTTGCTAAAAGTTGTTATTTTCTGGTATATGACTTAATTAGAGGACAATCTAAGGAGGATTTTAAATGGGGGTCCAACAATTTGAGGATCTTGTTTTGAATGTCGTTGCTGTAGGATTTTTGGGGAACTGAATGTTCTTCAAGGTCTCGTTTACTCTAGTTTTCAACTTGCATTCGGAAAATATGGAGTGAAGTATGCTTAAAATTGTAACTCTTAAAGGATCTCTCATCATTCTGCATTATGCTTTGTTCGGGGTAAAAGAAAGAGAGAAAAATAAAAGCATGGACGTGTTTTCTTTGTGTTAAACCGCTATGGGTGTATAACTATTTCTTTGCAATCTTGGCAGTTGGCACTATGTTAGTATCATATCAGTCTAGTGCAGTATTGTTCTCTGCTGCTATCTTGGTGCAATGAGCCACAGTAATTTAAAAACTCATAGTATTGATCTATTATAATGGAATTAATTAAGATGGGTTATAGAATAGTTAAGTATTTTGTCTTCCTTTTAATAGTTAGTTTTAATGTTCGTGCAGCTGACTTGTGTTTTTAAATGCACTTAACAGTAACTTGAGCTATGGGAAAGAGGAAGGCAAAATCAAAGCCACCTCCAAAGAAGAGGATGGACAAACTTGATACTGTTTTCAGCTGTCCTTTCTGTAGCCATGGCACCAGCGTGGAATGTCGCATGTAAGTTAATTATTTAGCATTCTCATGTCCAAGTTGTTTTTCTTCATTGACATTGGATACATTGAGCTTTTCCCTCTCTGCCTCCAAACCACTTTGGACATTGTTAGATTCAGATGATACCTAAAACAATCCTTTTGAAAGGTCCTGCTGATTTATACCATCCCCTTCCCTTCTTCCACCAGCCAAAAGAATAATAGTAGAAGTAAGGAGGGGAATAAGTTCTGTCAGCCAGCTTTATACATGCTGTACCTGCTAGTTTACATGGAAGTGTTTAGTTGCTTCCATCGGTGTGTGTAAAAAAATTCAACTCATCATGAAAAACGTGCATTGCTTCTCATTCTTGGTCAACAATTAATTTGACGTGTAATTGCTTTTGGCTCAATCTTATCGTTCATCTTTCCTGGTATCCAGTGATATGAAAAACTTGATTGGTGAGGCAAATTGCAGAATCTGCCAAGAGAGCTTCAGTACCACTGTCACAGGTATACCTAAACTTTTGGTTTCTCGTGTACCTATTAATTTATCTATGCTTCATGTTTTGTAATGACATTTGATTAGATGATTAAAACCACTGGGCCGGAAAATATAATGCATAACTTGCGACCTACTACTTCCATGAGAAAGTAGTCTGAGGAAATGGGGATAACATAGAAGAGTAATCTTTATCGATGTGTTCAATGAATTGAGTATTTTCTAGTTTACCTAACAGACTCTGGATTAAAGGATCTGCCTTCTGTCAGATAAGACTTCATATTGCATTCGCTCATGCCATATTTGTATTGGCGAAAGATTTTGTCCGTGGCCTTCATGTCTTTTCACCCTTTTAATGTCTCATTTGACTTTTGCTTGCACAAGTATAACTGGATTGCTAACAAGTTTTTTATTTTTGTGTTTTTGTCTTTGCAGCGCTAACAGAACCTATTGATATGTAAGTGCACCTAACCTTGCCATTGATTTCTTCAATGATGGATATAGATATTAAACTATTTTGAGAAGTACACACATATTTATACCGAATTCACATAACATTTACTGTAAACTATCTCTCCTCTCTGCATTTCTCATGTCTCTTTGTTGGGAACTCACAGATATAGTGAATGGATTGACGAGTGTGAACGAGTCAACAACTATGAAGAAGAAGATGTTTCTTATAGATCCTGATGAACTGCTCAGGACTGTGAGTAGACCGTTGGCAATAGTTCTGTCTCACTGCCTCAGATGAACGTGAAACTTATCCAGGCCTCGCTGGAGTCTAATAATAAGTAACTCCATTTAAGAGGCTTTCTATGTCTAAATAGTTTGAAATAGACGCAGAACCTATCTTGTTTATATTCTGCTTGTGCAAGTACAACTGTTTCTATGAAATTGGATTAACGACGTATCTACCTAATGTCAAGTAGTTTTATTTCTCCCATTACATGATGTCTCAAGTACATGTTAAGCCCTTCACCATAGGGTGACTGTTCAAACCATATCTGGAATTTTGAAATCAAGGATTAAAAATAGTCATTTAGCAGTATTATAGAAGCTTGAAGTTGGCTGGTCAAGTTCAATTTAAGCCACAACCAACTTCCTGACAAATCATCCTAAACTTGCAATTAACATATCTTCAGCACATAATAGGTGCAAGTATCTGAACCAATTCGTCCATCGCATCGATTATTTCACTGAGTACTTGTTATGTCCCTTTAGTATAACAAAGCTTATTAGAGTTGTCAATGTTAAAAGGAGCATATCTTTCCCATTTGGAGTGAAGGCCTACCTGAACATAGTTAACGCAAATATTACCAAAAAAAAACTATTAAATCTTAATAATTTTACCCCACTACACATAGAAAGCAGCAGATGTTGAAGAAAATGACCATTACATTTGGTCACCAAATTCGACACTACAACAAAAATACATTTAGTGTCAACTTGGTTCTATGAGAACAAGTAAATAGGGTTTTCATTCTCATGCAGTTAAAGTGTGCTCCATAGTCCGTGTCTCACATGACAAAGAAGCATTGACCATAAGCCCGCGGAAAGGGGAGACATCTGGTTGACCCCGACTGATGAATAAACGGCACCAGGGTAACACTTCTACCACCGGATGTTTTGAGTCTCGAGACGAAACTGCTGTATAATACAAAGGCGAAAAGCCTCTTGTTTGAAAAGAGTATCATCGAATGTATATAATTACGTTATGAAGTAGCCATCCAGATCGTCTACAAGATAGTCATAAGGATCGCTATTCCCATAATCAAATCCTTCACAAGTTGGAACAATTGGAACCGGAGCAGCATGGATGTTTCCCACATACTTCATATTGGCCTTCACTCTGCCCTTCACAGTTCGCTTGTTGTCCAAAGGAAATTCAGCAGTTAGTCTTCCCATTTGCTTTTGCAAATCAGCAACTGATACATTGCTTATCTTCCCTTTGGGAATCTTTTTCCCATCAACAAGTTTCAGTTCCAATCTGTACAAGGCACATGCATCATACTTGTTGATCTCATACTCGTAAAGATGCCATTCTAGATTTTTCATCGGTTGTGGATCCATGTAGTAGGATCTCTTCAACCCACCAAATTCATTCATCATTTGCTTCCTTGACTCATGCCAACCCCGTCCATTATAATCTGGCAATGACCTCTGCTTCCTGTTTCCACTTTCAAATGCTCTTCGAGGTTTATCAAAGAAAAGCCACTCCCTAATTATTTCACCTTCAACAACTTTAAGATCAAATAGCTCTGCAGAAGCATAAGCAAACCAGCGGATATCAGATTTTACAAGTAAAAGTGTAGAACTAAGTACACAAAAAATCGCAGCAATCAGAAATACAGATATGCCCCAGAACTCTCACCAGGTGCATTCCAGGGGGACTTTGCCGTGGCAGCACCCTCACACTCGGGAACACCAACATCTTTTCCATGTGCTTTTGCACTAAGAGCTTGAAAAAGCAAATTATCCTTTAAGCCAATACCCATTGGCCGAACAACTGGAGGCCTCCCAGGATAGCCTTCATTAGGTGCAAGAGAAGCATGATAGTCGCTGCAGTAGTCTTGAGACTTCTGACACCAATCTGACCCCATCGCAGGCCGAGGACAATCCCAAAGTGCACATTTCGGCCCCAGGAAAGCAGAGGGTGGAGGACTAATATGAATAGGAGGCATAGCATCCTCTAGGCAGAGATTTAAAGCATCAAATCCAGGTAAGTACTGCTGATCGTATTCGTGATGCAAATCAAAAGAATGGTAATCCAATTGTGTTGCAATGCCAAGATTGTTGACTCCTGTGTTATTAACCATTAAAGGCAAGCCTTTGCATTGATCAACCAACTGGAAACCTTGCTCCTGCAGCACCTGAGTTACATTGAAACCCTACAGCAAACAAATTGCTTAACAGGTAAGAATTAATTGATCACTTAAACATGCATTCTAAACCAGCTGAAAAACAAAAGATTGCGAAAGGTCTAATCTTCACTTGTTAGAAATCAACCAACAAAGGAGATATACAAAGCTATATGAAGAGAAGGGTCAGGAGGCTATTTAGATAAATGAGAAACATGCTGTAGGATAATTGTTAAGGAAAACTTCAAGCAAGATAGCAGCCACAACAGACATGAACTTCAAACCAAATTAAACCATCATTTTCTTCCTAAAAGGCCAAAGTGTACATAGCACTCATTTTTAGATTAATTCAAATGATACTCTCAGTTTTATTCTATGTCGTTCAATCGTGCATTAACAATATGTCAAATGTGACTTCCTCCAAGCATTAATAGTGGTGGAAGAAAATACTAATGTAATAGCTACCTGATAGAGAAACCATTAAGATGAAGCTTAAATTTGATTAAAGATATCTATACATATATGACTGCTATTCTTATTGATATTGATCAATGTGGGCTAGAAATAATCCTCCCATTTATTTAAGACATAAAAGTTTATCAATTGTGAAAGGTTTCCCAAGGAGAAGCAGCAACCTCCTTGTAATTACCAGGTCTAAACATCAAATATCAATCAAGTCATACTCAAGCTAATCTATAGGAAGATCATTCTGTCACAAGATCATACCAATCAGAAGAGTCCAGCAATTGCAGAAGATGAAATTACAAGTAAAATGCATACCTCTTGAAAACCAGTAACGCTAACTTTTTGAGCATCAGGCTCAGGCTTAGGTGCAGCTAATGCACTGGTGGCATCATCTTCTTCCTCACCCAATAGCAGTCTATAGATATCTGCTGATGATGACACACGGCTTCCTCCCTGCAAAGGCAGCCATTATGAAAAACACACAATTGTATAGCTCTATGCCACCAATACCCGAAGACAGAAACATACTTATAACAATACCACGTTCAATAAACGAAACCAATACAAAGGATATAGGAAACATAAATTCACACAGCCTACAATATTCATAAATACTGTCTTTTGACTAACATAGTGAAATTGATCCGCACTCGCTATATGCCAAAACTTTCTTTGTGCATGTGCTCAAGCATGCTTCAAGTCACGAGACCATTAAAACACAAGCTTACATATAAGAAGACACACCAACATGCATTTTTTCCTTTGCAATGTACCCACCACGGACAGGTACAAAAGATAAAACCTCTAAGTGCGCTCAGAGCTAAAAGGGACGTAAATATTTGTTCTTGCCTGCAAAGAAGAAGCCGGTGATGGCTCATTAAGCTCAGATTTCCATTCACGCAGCATCTGGTGGACTTGCTCTTCAAGCAACCCAACATCATACGTTCGGCTTTCCTTCCTTGCAGATTGTAGATTAGTTAACACACCCTGCAGATCATCCACACGGTTCTTTGCCCTGTCCTTGAAGAGCTGGTGTGATGCAGACTTACATGCACCCCTCTTCGAAACCTTCCTCATCCAATCAAACAAAAGAACACCCTAAACTCCTCACCTGCAAAAAACCAACAAGTAAACATACTTAACTCTAAACATCCCATTCTGTTTATCAATTTCTCTTCAAATATATACCCACCACAACACCTAAACCATATGCAACAAATAAATACCAGTACAGAATATCTGTTACAAACCCAATACCTCAAACAACAAGAAGAAAAACCCAACAAAACCCAACTCAAAATCTAACACAATACTAAAATTCAAACATCAATTTCTTACCAAATCCAATTATTTCTCACAAGCATCAAATCCCAAAGAAACCCAAAATCAGAAATGAAAGATTACCCAAGTTAAACCTCAAAACAACCAATAAAACTCGCTCCTCACGATCTCCAGCTGGAAACAACAACTTGAAATCCCCAAATTATCGGAATCAAAAACAATTGGAGCATCAGATTCTACTAAAATTTATGCATATATATTAAAAAACAGAATAAAAACAAGAAAAAAAAGACGCCCAAGTTGCCAAAAAAGCAGAATCACATTCCAAACATAAAGAAATTCGAAAAGTAAACCAAAAAAAAAAAAAAAACTAAAAGGGGTTGTACCAGTTAGCGGTGAACCAAACTGAACAAATGCAAGTGAAGATAGAAAGGAAGTGAAAATGCTGGTCAGTGTTCCTTCTATATAGAGAAGAATTGGGATTTTGCTTCGGTAAATTTCTTGGAATTTTGATGATTTTGAGCTTAGAGAAGAGTAGAAGAAGACTGGTTAGTGGTTACTATCAATACCTAAAGAAAGAAAAAAAATGCGATTTTGATGACATTTCATGTCTACGCGGCAAAAGCATGAGGCAAGGGGTGTATATATGTATGATGTTGCTTTGAATTTCCTTTTATACCCCCACTCCCCGACTAGCTCGACTAATTTAGATTTACGTTCGATGATTGATTTTGGATCGTGTCGTTGAGTATTCGTGATTGAAGTTGCAATATGCTTGAAGTTTCGTGTTATTTCTGCATGGAAACTTCCGACGTATGTGTTTGAAGTACGAATTGTTTTTTTATTCTCAAAGCTTTAACACGAAAAAAGTTCAAAGACAAAAAGATCTCTTATCAATTTCACCATCCCTTCCATTTGTTTTATCATCTTTATTTATTTGACTAGAAAAAGCAATGGAACATTTTTTTTTCCTACTCCTCCAAAAGAATGTAAAATAAAAAATAAAATTTATACATTTAAAAGTTATATTAAATTACCATTTTTCTATAGCTAAGCCTAAGAATAATGTTAATTACCGACAAAACAGACTGGCCCAAGTGGGAGATTGTTAGCGAAAAAGTTAAAATTTAAATTTTATAGATTCTAAATTTAAATATAATGATATTAGGGGTTGGTAATTGAATTTTAAATTCATTTTTTTTTATACATATTGAATAAATTATTTGATAAAGATATATAATTTAGATTAAAATTACTAAATCGATCGAACAATTAAGTAACTTTCTAGCCCCACACCAGGATAGTGGATGGAATACAATTGCATTGTCTAAGAATAAGGACAAAAATAGAATCTTGTTCCCAATATGAAGTTTGAGGACTACAATTTCACAATGAGATTCTCACTCATGTTGTGGGAATATCAATTCCCTTCCTAAAACAGATGACTAGAAAAAAAAGTTGCCAACAACCGCTCGATATTTAGATCAAATCAATAACAATAAGTCATGTAATAAGTTGGCAAGTTGTTTCCAAGGCAATCTTGAAGAGCTGCAATCTCACTTAATCAAAAAGATAACAACATACCTGATGTAATCCCGTAAGTGGGAACTAGGGAAAGTAATGTATAAGCAGACCTTATCCCGTATCTTGGCAAGCAGAGAGGTTGTTTCCGACAGACAAAAAAAGGAAAAAATGATTCCCATTGACACTTTTCATCAAGAACCAAAGTGAAGAATATGACTCTTTGTGATGATGTGTTAATGAGAGATTGGCCTCTTTTTTTCAGCCTTTATGAGCAGCATCCAGATCCATTCAGCAGAAAGGGCTTTTGTTGTGTGTGTGAATAATAAAAAGAGAAAGAACAAGGGAAGAAAGGCATAAAGGGTACACCTCCATTATCATCTTCAAGATTCCATGATAGTCAAATTCTTGATCACTACTGATATCTGCTATCAATAATGATTTCTGCAGATAAGGGGGCATCTAGACTTACTTTTAACTAGCATCAACATCAGATGCTAGTTGAAGATGATAAGTTTCTTAAGAGTATGTCATCACAGACATCAACTTTTCTATCAGGTTGGGTGGATGAATGTAAACTAAGAAGAACATGGCACAAAACGAAGGTGGCACAACAAAATTTAGGCTAATTTCACCAAATTTAGCATTCAAAAACTTTCATAAACAACGGCTAATTTAAGATTCAACTTTATTTACAGTGAGCGGATAGAAGCTTAGACCGAGCTTTTAAAAAAATGAGCCAAATAGGACTTGGATCAAAAGAATGAAAAGAAAAAAAAATGATTCCTATGTAGCCAAAACTGAGCAAACAAATCATGCTGGTGTTGCTGACTTGCCTTCTCCAATATGAGGAATTCTGAAATTGAACATACCAGCAAGTCCCTTTCCCCTAGCTAGCTGTTCCAGCTCTTGAATTTTGCTTTGAAGGCCCTTTATCTCCTTTTCCAATGCTTCATCTCGTAGTCTCAATTTCTGAAAAACACTTCTTGAACTAAGATATAACTTTTGAACACATATCTAGGAAGAAAGTTCACAGGTTCTTATACGATATATAGAACTTTTAAAATTTCCAATTAGGTGGAACGTAACATGAACATAGTTCACCAGATCACCAGATATAAAAAGCAAAAGTAGCAAAGGAAGAAAATCTTTTTGAATTAGAACCCCATGCTGATATCTAGTACCAGAAGTGATAAAATAAAATAGCATGTACTACTCTAATAGATGGTGTATATATCTGAGTTTGACTTTGAATTATAACCAACAGTACAGGTGGAAATATTGATATTACTAGTGGTTAGTGGTGCAAAAATACCCCGCCACGAGAGGCAAATCAACAGACTAATGCATGTCGTCATCCAAGGCGATCAGATTTAGATAGAATATAGAAGGAAAAACTTCAAAGAGGGATTATAAAGCATATTTAAGAGAAATATCAAGAGGACAATGTTAAAACTTTCAGGTGAAGATGAAATAGTCAAGCTTGAAGATTAGATAATAGATAAAGCACACTTAAGAGCTTGCTAAGAAGAAATAAGAAGAATATGATAGGATTACCTCCATTTCTTGCCTACGAAGTTCCTCCTTCTTAGCCTCTGACCGAGAATTCCTTTGCACCTCAAACACAACAATAGCACCTGCGACCTGTTCAGCACATTGCAAAAGTTGCACAAATATTAATTAGAAGATGCACAGGCAGCAGATGGCAACGGCAGGTCATGTTTCAAGGGTTAAAGTTGACCACAAGTCTCAAGAGATTCAAGGCATAGACATTGATGTGTGTATGTGCAGATGCCACTGAACACAAATAGATTCAAGAAAAAAAGTCCTAATGGCTTGTCGTTATACTGAAAGTGACATACACAAAGTGCGTCATGGCATAAGATAATCTGTACGTTCCAGTGACCAAGCATTAGTATAACGGGATGCATCATGCAACATGCATCGACATTAATTTAAACCTAATTACTCTATCACACTGTTAATGAGCAGCTGAAACAGGCATTAGGACTTTCAATATAGCAGCTTCAGCCAGCTCTGCTGGACTAATAACTTTTCCATTGCATTCTCCACTTCCATTGACATATTAGTTCCAAAGAATTTAGAAACTGCTTGACCATCCAATTAAGAAATTGTGAGACAATACAATATCCGATTTAGTAGCAGCAAGCACTGAAGGGCATCATGGCACACTAAACTCCCGCTATGTGCAAGGCCCAAAAAGGCAGAGCCAAAGCGGTCTATTGTATGCATTCTTACCTCGCATGTTTGCGCCAACTCTTACTATGCCAGCAAGTACAAGACAAAATTTGTCAAGACTTGGAGCTCTTTCTTTTCAAGAACTTAGTGCAGTCATTGAACAAATATTTTTGGGCAAGCAAGTAAATGAATCGAATCATTTGTTGAACTGTTAATACTTCATAAACACCCAAAACCAACCCTAAAAACTTCCCGCCTTCTCTTCTCTTCCTCCACTGACACGTATTTGGCTACTACACTATCAGATTTTAATAAAGTTTCAAATGTTTATTGCATATGCTAGCTTGGAATTAAAAGAGTTCTCTGTCAAAAGCCCTTTCAATAGATTTATCCATAAGAAAATTATGTTGCAAGAAAGCATGTAGAGATTCTAAACATCGGCACATGCACGAAATAGCGTAGACAACTCTGGCCTTCAAAACTGTATTGCCAATTTGCCATGACAGGCAGCTGAGACTTTATTTTCATTGAAGCAAATCACCCAAAGCAATAATTCTTAAATTACCAAGATCAGATGTTGTGCACATGCACAAAGCTTTGATATGTATATTGACATATGAAAATTTCCTAAACAAGGTGGTACTTCTCTCATGGCTCTTTGTGCCTTCTGTTCTACTAGCAGTCGACTTTTTGGAAGAATAAATTTTAAGGGAGTTGTACAGAGAAAGATTTAGAAGTCATATTGGTCTAGGCGAAGCGCACACATCAATGGAAGATGAGAGTTATAAGCCTTTGTATTTTCATCATAGCTTTTCTACTCTTGCATTTTTTTTCATACGTTTCTCAAAAACAATTTTCTTGAGCCGAGGGTCTATCGGAGACCGCCTCTTTACCCCACAAACGGAGGGAGTACCTTATTTGAGTGAGAGAACATAACATGTTCCTTTTTTCTTTTGGGGGTAACTAAGGAGAACATATAAAGTTTTACATGTGTAAAAAAATTGTATCATTCGATTGCTTAGCAACGCTTGTCTGCGCGTTCACAAAAATTAACATATGTAATAGATAAGAATCAGGGTAGCTAACTATCAGACATTATTGCAAAAATCAAGTAGGAGAATAAACAATACCGAGAAAACAAAAAGTTCCCCCAGAAGATCAACAGCGGCTTGAACCGCTTTCTCTTCATTCAAAGGTCTTATTCCAACATCAGTTGCATGGCCATATATCCGTCTTTGCATGGTTGTTGTTATCCGGTGATTCGCCTGGATTCAGCAATGTATGTAATGAAAGATGATTCATATATGCAGAAACTCTTAACAAGTCAAAGTAAAAACAGAAGTGGAGCATAACCTTGAAAGAATGAAGTCTACTAGAGTATTCACATCTGAAACGAAATATGTGGAATGTATTGAAACATATCTAGGAACAATCAGAGAAGGATGCAAGTGTGCTACATGTATAACCACATGAAGCATAGAGGAAAACGGACCACGTGAAATGAACTGCTATTTTGCGAGAAGAACTGCGTAGACAACAAATTTCAGACAAACTCATGAACTATAATACAAACCAGTATTAACCACAAAAGTGAGGCGCATGCAACAAAATTTCTAAGACATAAAATCCCTTAATGGAGATACCACAAGCATCAATGGACACAATATTTTCAAAAAATGACCATCATGCTTGTGATGTCTAACCATTGCATTTGCTAGTCACTGCAGTTTGTCATCAATACGTCAATATATTCCTGTCAATGTCTAGATCACATTTTCTTTGTACATTTTCTTGTATGAACAAAAGTAGTAGGAGTCAATTACAAATATGTTAGACGCAACAGGTAGTCTTTCTAACAGAGCAATGATGTCATTGCATGGCATTAAGATTTGCAGTCTTTCAGTGACGAATTGCAATTCTATATATCTATACTACCAGAAATACTTGAGAAGAGACTTGCCAACATTTGAAAGACAGAACGTGATACATTTCTGTTCATATAAATTTAAGACCATTACTCAATGAGGCAGCCACCCACATTTTAGAATTGGACACACTCTTTTAAACTAGCACTAGCATCTACTAATCATACTATCAAATACAAAAACAGCAAAATTTATACCCTCTTCAGGAAAAAAAAACTTTACATGATGCAACTGGACTCATAGCTAAACAGAGAGATTGTAATGACAGGGAACAATTTTCCTCTTAGTTGACCTTCTAAGATGATCCAACCTTCTGGAAAATTTAAATATGGATCAGAACCAACAAAAGATGGTAAAATTCCCCAACAATTCTGCTACAAATAATTGAATGTCACGTTGGAAGAAAACAAGAAGTTATAAGTCGTCACCATTAAAAAAAAAAAACATGATTCTCCTACATTTTGAGCTCTTCTAAAACCTACAATCTCTTGACTTGAACAACCCAAAACCAAAGCAAGAAAAGGTGATCCCGCAACAGTTCTTCTACAAATAATTGAATATCAAGTTGGAAAAAAAGCTAGAATCTATAAATTCTCACCATTTTAACGGCAAAATTCCACAATTCTTTATTTTGATCAGGTAAAAGTATTTTCATTCATAAACATGACCAAAACAGTCGCATACAAAAAATTCCACAATTCTTCTAAAACCAACAATCTCTTATTATACTTGCTGTCCCCTTTGCTTTATTATCACTCTCCTATTATCTTATTTTTCTATTTTAATTATCATATGTTGTTTTCTTTTGCTTCGGTTATCGTATTATTTTGTTATTGACTTATTGCTATTGTTATGTTCTTCATTTTTTTCCATTATTTGCTTAAAATTGCTTTGTTTGAATTGAGGATCTTCCGGAAACAACTCTCTACCCTCCCAAAATAAAGGTATGGTCTGCGCACACACCACTCTCTCCAGACCTCACTTGTAAGATTATACTGGATATATTGTTGTTGTATTCCAGAAAAGGAATCATGACAGAATAAATTCAAATCAATATACAATCATCAACCCAACTCATCCTATTTAAACGTCGACCCAAGATCGACCAAAGAATGACAGTTATCCTAAAAATGATACTCTCTCCGTTTCAAAAAGAATGACTTAGTTTGACTTGGAACAGAGTTTAAGAAAAGCAAGAAACTTTTTAATCCTGTGGTTCTAAATTAAAGTTATGTCAAATGTACCAAAATACCCTTTAATCTTGTGTCCTTAAACAAGTCACGTGGAAAATTGAAGTTAAAGTGTTGCCAAAAAAAGGAAAGGGGTCATTCTTTTTGAAACAGACTAAAAAGAAAACGAGGCCAGTCTTTTTGAAACAGAAGGAGTACATATAATCAACCCCAATTAGTTTTAAATTTACATGTACTTGATCAATTCAATCACCAACCCAACACCAACATACCAGTTTAGTCCCACACAATGAGGTATGGAAAAGATAAAATGTAGACAGACCTTACCCCTACCTCATAGGTAGAGTAACTATTTCTGATAGACTCTCAGCTCAATCCATTCACCAACCCAACAACAACATACCCAGTGTGGCCCCACACAATGGGGTCTGGAAAAGATAGAATCTAGGCAGACCTTACCCCTAACTCACAGGTAGAGAGATCATTTCTAATAGACCCTCGGCTCAATCCAATCACCAACCCAACAATAAACCCAGTATAGTCCCACATAGTGGAGTCTAAAAAAGATAAATATATGCAGACTTCTTTCTCAAGTGATAAAGAGTCTGTTCCTGATAAACCCTCAGCTCAATCCAATCACCAACCTAACAACAATATAACCAGTATAGTCCCACACAGGCGGTGTCTGAAAAAGAAAATGTATGCATAGCTTACCCCTACCTCAATAGGTAAAAGAGGTTGTTTCCAATAGATCATCGGCTCAATCCAATCACTAACCCAACAACAACAGCCGGTGTAGGCCCACACAGTGGGGTCTAAGAAAAATAAATGTTTGCAGAGAGGTTGTTTCCAATAGATTATCGGCTCAATCCAATCACCAACCCAACAACAACAACATACCCAGTGTAGTCCCATATAATGAGGCGTGAAAAAGATAAAATATACGCACACTTCACCCCTGTCTCAATAAGTAAATACACTATTTTCAATAAACCCTCAGCTCAACCCAAAAACAAAAAAAAACTTGAATCACAAATTATTATTACTATTACATAATACTATTAAAAGGGTTTATCATGGGAATTACCTGGGCAATGCTGATGATGAAATTACGGAATTTGGGATGCAACCCAGCTTCTTTCTTAAGCCTAGCAGCAATGGGTTTACTCAAAGTTCTCAAAGCAAGTGTCCCTAACTTCAATAATGGAAGGACCATCACTTTGGATTTTGTCTACTCTATCTTAATTTTAACACTAAAAAGTAAAATTCTTTGATCTGGGAATTTTGTATTTTATATATATATTGTATAGTATTATTCTTGCTTGATCCCCGGAATTTGACCAGTCCGGTGGTTGATACATTTTCTTGAGGAATAAGCTAACTGCTGCGTGTACCCAAGGTTAGCGCTGGAAATTCTTTTTGGAATGATCCAATTAATAAGTAGGCTATGGTCTTCAAGCCCATTTAAATTAAAAGTTGATCAAACCTCTAAGTCTATGTTTATCGTGTCACGTAATTTTTCCGCATCTTTTTCAATTTTCTCAAATATTTTAAAAAAATTTAAAAGGTACTTTGACTTAAAAACACTTATAATAAGTCAATTTAAATAGTCTCTATGTGATAGTAGTTTGAAGCATCGTTATTTAAGACAGATTCAAAATTTATACATTATTTATAATTTAGCTACTTTGATATCAAGTTTGAAATTCTAGGTATAACGTAATTCACCATAAGAAGCCTTTTGGAGCGTTTCTAGCTGCATATTATATGGAAGTCGCATTGATTAGTTGGTTCTTAAGTTTCACATTTTTATTTGGTCAATACTTATTGTTTATGAGTTTCCCAAGGTCAACTCAAATTTCATTTTTTCCCAAAGTCAACATAAACCTTTATGTATTGTACATATATATATATATATATATATATATATAGTTAGTTAGTTAGTTAGTTACTAGCTAGCTTCATATGAATGTAACACAAAATAAGAAAGAAAAGAAGAAAATATGAAGAAATTTTTGTTTATGATTTGCTTGTTAATTGCAATTGCTAATTTGTCTTCAACTCTTGGGCTTAATTTAAGTCCAAAAGGAGTTGAAAAATGGTTCAAGAATTTATCACATGCAAAGGAAAAAATGACCAAATTTCACTTTTATTTTCATGACATTGTGAGTGGAAAGAATCCATCAGCAATTCAGATAGCACAAGCCAATGTTACCTCTTTGTCTCCCACATCTTTTGGGTTAGTGAGGATGATGGACAACCCAATGACTATTGGACCAAATATCAATTCCGAGGTAAATATTAAAGTTTATAATCATCTCATTCAAAATACTAAAGTTCATGTGCTTACCTTTTGGCACAAGAGATCTCGCTGGTATTTTTCATCTCAAATATATATATATATATATATGATCCTTCGATTGATGATTTTCTATCATGAAAAGCTTGATTCATAGCATGTGAAGGTATATCTAAATCTTTTCAAATGTATGGAAGCATATTTGAACTATTTCCATTGTTTAGGGACATACTTTGAATTATCGTAAGAGGGTAATTAAATAAACAAATTTGATAGTTTAGTGGTAAATTTTTAATCTTTTATTTATCTACGTGACTTCATTGTGATAAATGTCATAGTCAAGCTACACAATCGTGAAAGGGAGGGTCGCATAAGGGTAAATTTGAACATTTTTTCCTTTACTTTAACACTGAAACATGCTCGTGGATTGATTCGTTTTGATTGTCAAGCACATGAACATTCTTTTTTTTTTAATAATGGATGACAGTGAAATTCAAAGCAGACTATTACCATTTATGACTATATATCTTATTAAATATTTTAAATTTACTCAATTAAATTTTTAACAGGTAATTGGTCGAGCTCAAGGAATGTATGGCTTCACCTCGTTTGAAGATAGAGAACTACTTATGACTTTTAACTTTGTGTTCACCAAAGGCAAGCACAATGGTAGCACACTCAGTATCCTCGGACACAACCGAGCGTCTCGCGAGTATCGTGAGTTGCCGGTGGTTGGTGGCTCCGGTGTTTTCCGGCTAGCACGAGGTACTGTGACAGCGAAAACTTATTGGTACAATGCCACTACTCGTGATGTAATAATTGAATGTCATGTTATAATTTTACATTATTGAACTCCTTAATTTCCTCCCTATTTGTTTAGTTTGTTTTTGTAATTGTTCATGTATTGTCAACTTTATTGTAACAAATCAATAAATTATACAGTAATGTTTTTGTTATGTCCTATATCGGTCTGTTGGAGTAATGGTTAACAATGGTGGTAATATATATATAGTTAGTGGTGATAACTGATAATTATAGTGGATGATAGTAATGGCTAATAGTGATGATGATTGATAGTAGTGATTGACGTCTTCACGATATATAGTAATGACGGACTCGTTTGGCCATAGATTTTCCAAGTAAAATTTGGGGAATTTTTTTGCAAATAATGTCTGTCCATACACTTTGTCATTATTTGGCAAATATTTTTGTCAAATAACCCAAATTTCCGAATACTATAAAAAACTAGTATTCGGGCCAAGTCTTATTATTTGAGAACTTTTAATAATTCAAATTTTACACCAAACTTTTATCTTTTACAAAAACACCTTCTATAATAGTTATTTGCGTTGTTTTACATAATTTTTTACGTGAACATCAAAGTAGTAATGGAATATTCAGTGATGATATGGTTATTGATGAAAATGATGATCAATCAGCTAAGGGTAGCAAAGTCGTGTGCCATGTAATACAAACTCATGGTTAGTTTTGATAGTTTTTAAAAGTTATGCGTATAAATCATTTTTCTTTTAAAAAGATTAAATATATTTCTCAAATACTATGGCCAAACAATAGTGAAATTTCACCCAAATAATATTTGTCAAAAAATATTTGGAAATCTATGAACAAATACTAGCTAATGGTGATGATTATCGATAGTAATTGATGACTGTTTGGTAAATGTGATTGGTGACCACGAAAAATTGATTGTGGTAGTTAGCAATGTCACAAAATGATCCTACCACGTCATCGATCCATAAATCCCTTCTTAAATCAATCTAAACCGTTCGATCAAATCACTATCGACGGTTCTAATCATTTCAGCTATACAAAATTCACAAATAAAAAAACAAAGAAGCACAATACTTTCCACGTCATCGATCCGCAATTCACATCTCTTTCAAATCAATCAGAACCGTTGATTCCACAATGAACTCTTTCAAAACCAACGCTCATGATTACCTTCTCATTCTTCCACGTCATCGATCCGTGTCAACAAAATCAACGGCCACGATTAATCCTCCCTCCCCGCCCAAACTTTCAAAATTTTCCTCTATAAATAGTCTCCCATTTTCAAACAAAATTTCATATAAAAATCCCAAATCTAGAAACCCTAAAGCAATTGGAAATCGAGATTAAGAAATGGCTCGTACAAAGCAAACTGCTCGTAAATCGACTGGAGGCAAAGCTCCAAGGAAGCAATTGGCAACAAAAGCTGCTAGGAAATCTGCTCCGGCGACCGGAGGAGTGAAGAAGCCACACAGATTCAGGCCAGGTACCGTGGCGCTGAGAGAAATTCGTAAGTATCAGAAATCAACTGAGCTTCTGATCAGGAAGCTTCCGTTCCAGCGTTTGGTTCGTGAGATTGCTCAGGACTTTAAGACTGATCTCCGTTTCCAGAGCTCTGCTGTTGCTGCGCTACAGGAGGCAGCTGAGGCGTATCTCGTAGGATTGTTTGAGGATACTAACCTTTGTGCAATTCATGCTAAGAGGGTTACCATTATGCCAAAAGATATTCAGCTTGCAAGGAGAATTAGGGGTGAAAGAGCTTAAAATGTTGTAGTGATTTGAGTATATAGTGGGGATGTTTTGAACCTTTTATGATTTGATTCGGAATTTTCTCAATTCTGAAAATGTATGAAGTCTATTCCAATTTATGTTCAGTTTGACTATCTCTTTCTCTTGCATACATTTTTCTTACTTTATATATATTGTTCGGCATAGCTATAGATGGTCTTGCAGTTTGTTAATTGTTTCCAAGCACTAATTATCTTTTGTTATGAGTAATGAGAAATGAAAGATGCTATGGGAATTGCTTGATGTTAGTAATCTGAATATGCTGAGATTTTGAAGTTCTTTTTGATTTAATATTTTGTGAAATCTGTTTCATCCTATTTATGTCCATCTGCTTCGAAGTTAATTCCAGTATTAAACATGAATGTGAAGTCTAAAGACGTTAATCAGAAGATACAAGTAATGGAAAATGACCATTTTTTACACCATGTTGAATCCTTAAGACTAGTCCTTGAAGCCTGTGTCTATTCTATTATGCATTTAGAAAGTTTTGCTAGTATTGTTTTCTTGCTTGAACAACGTCCGTGATTGCAAGTGATCTTTAAACTTCCCTTTGCTCTGTTGAGAGGTTATGAATTAGTCAATCTCAGCTTCTCAAATTGGATTCAATTTGGTTAAAATAGTATTTCACATGTACTTTCTAGTTCTTTGATTTGTGTTACTATCACTTGTACTTCGTTTATCACACTATTTTATTGTACTTTGTTTTTCCTTTCTTTGCTTTGTCATACTTTCTATATTATTTGCTTTGATATGCTTATCCTTGAGCTGAATGTCTATCAAAAAACAACCGCTTTACCTCCCAAGTTACAGGTAGATTTGTGTGTACTTTAGCCTCCGTAGACCTCACTTGTGAGATTACACTGGGTATGTTATTGTGGTGGTGTAAGATGCTAATTTGAAGATGAAAATTATGGTAAATTGCCAAACTTAACACTTCTGGATGTGAATACTTAGAAAGAGGTCTTTGAAGTCTGGTTTAGTACTAGTCTCCTTTTTTAGTGGAACAGATACATTTGAAAATCCTCAAATTTTGAGATAACTTCCATGGAGAAATTCCTAATTTGTGTGGATGTGAAATCTCCTAAATTGACTAACATAAACCTCTCAAATGTAACAACTTTAGCCTAGAACCATCCATTTTTACAGGTTTGTTTCTCAAGAACCACTAGTTTCCATTATTTTCCTCCCTTTTTTATTTGTGGTTTTGGATACCATTGACTCACAATTTGTTTTTCCATCTTGCTAGTTTTCATCACTCATTGTGTTGCAATATTTGCGCAAAACATCATTATGGTTAAAGAATTTTCATTTTTCCTGCTTCTTTTGTGAGATTCATCTTGATTATTTCTATTCTTGGTCCCATTAGCTCATGCCAGCAGTATTTTAGAGTCATATCATTCATCGGATAAAAAATATGGCAGGAATTGTGTACTTGAAAACCAATAGATTTGAGGTTAAATTAGAAGGTATAACCTTTAAGGCAAAAGAGTTTGAATCTTTATTCACAGCTGATATTCTTTTCCCAGAAGGTAAGACTTGGGCACAACC